CTTGTATGTAATTTTACTAAATTGTAGATTCATGCTCTTGAGCATAGAGTATATACCCTAGAAAATTATAAATATATTTAAATTAGAATGTATATTATCAATTGAATTTAATAAAGAAAGAGAAAATATATGTCTACCACAAAATAGCAACAATTTATAAAAGTAAATTCTTATCTTGTAAATTGTCTTTTAAATTTGATTTGTAACTTTAATAAATCTTTTAAGATTTAATTCATAGACTGAATTGATTTGTAACTTTAATCCAGCTTGTTTAGATTTGGATTTTAAAATGTTTATAGAATTAAATATTGTCATTTATAATACTACTTGTAGAAACTATGATAGAATGTTCCTGATAATACATTTCTTTACAGTATTATTATCTTTACATTACATTATTTTTATTATTTACTGACATTAAAGTATTTATACTTGGTCTAACTGTTTTTTTGAATTTATAAAATATGCATTTTATTTACTAGAAGCTCATTATTATCTTATTGTACATTATTTAAGTTAAATTGCCTTATTGTTAATACTGTTCAATTTATTTTCTTATTAATAGTTATATTGATATAATTATTTACTTACTAAAAACAAATGCATGATTTATTTTATAAAAATAATATATATATATGCAAAGTTTTGTTCTATATTTGTTAATATAATTATAGGTATATCATTGTAAATTTTTATATCAAATAGTATAAATTCTTAACTATGTAAATGTGTTTTAAATGACAAGAAAAAATTTAATTATGTCTGTATATAAAATTTTTTTTTATATATTATAAGCATCTGTTATATAAAAAGTTTTATTAATCATAATGTTTAAATTGTTTAAATTCTTTATTGAATTTTTATTCTATTGTTAAAAAAGATTTGCTAAAGCATCATTAACAAATAATTTAATATCAGATGCCAAAGTTATATCAAAATATAAAATTTATTGTAAGTTTTACAATCTTATAATAAATTTTATATACAACTAAGTACCATTTAATCTAAAATTATTGGTATTCATAAATTTTATTATTATAGTGATTAAAATTAGCCACATCTGACTAAATTATGAAATTAAAATTAGATTGTATAAATGTATTTCTGAAAATATAATTTCAAAAATTATCTTATATAAATATATTATTACCGGGAATTTATCTATAAAATATTGCAATAATATATAATTTTTTTTTACAATTATATTCTTATGCAAGTGGAGTATTTTTAATAAGATATATTTATTCAGTGCCACCAGTATGTTTTGACCTGTATTCCTTATTATATATACAGTATCAATACAATTTTCTTTTCAATTATTTTCTCACACAAGTGTAAACTATTCTTAATAAGAAATGTATACATTTAGTGCAAATTTTTACAAAATTATACAGTGTTATAAGCACAATATCTATATACTATAAACTTAACTCCTACTATAATAGAAAAAATTTAATTGTATTTAATCAAATCTTTCCAAATCAGAAAATTTTCTAAAACAGGAAAAAATATAAACTTTAAAAAAGTTAAATAAAACTATTGTTACATCTATACTATCTCTCTATAAGTGTATGTAATGTAAAATGATAATAATTAAAAATGATAATAATTGAATGTCTTACAATTACCTTATGTTGGTAAGTATTTATATCAATAACTAGTATTAACATTTAAGAGAATTTAAAGTAATTTGCAATTATAAAAGAAACAACAACTAAATATATATGAAGATATAAATAAATGTATAACAGTCTATTAATAAAATTCTTGAATTGCTCATGTATAAAGACACAATAACTCTTTATTAAGTATTTTTTAAGTAAAAGCACACTGATTCAATAATATAATATTGGGCTATTTATATATGTTCATTACTATAGATTTGCATAACTAATTTATTGTTTACTTGTTAATTCTAATTCTATATTGGTTAATGCTATAATAAAAAGAAGAAATAAAAAGGTTACTAGATAATAATATATAGTTTAAGAAAAATAAAAGTGAAGGTAAATATTGATTTAATCTATTAGATTCATTAGTATCCAATACAGGTTTGTACAACTGCCAGGTGTTAGTTGAAGATTGGGCTATATAATTTATTAAGCTATTCTAAAAAACAGATTATTTTAATAATTTTTTCTTTCTTGTTTTTAAGTTCTTATGAGAATTATTAAATCAAGTACTAATAATTTTGAGCTATAAGTCTATTGTTGTATAACCTACTGCAGCTAAATCAAAATAGGCATATTATATTTGGCTAGTAGTATATACATAGATAAGTACTTGTATCTCTTCTTCTAATTCTTTTCTTTAATCTTGTCTTTTACTAATCCAGTCTTCTCTTGTTTATCTTAATTAAGGTTACTTTACATCTTATTGGAGTTGAGACTTTTCTATTATATAATAGTCTTGTCACATAACTTGTAATAAGCAATCAATAGTAAGTTAGTAGTTTATAAATATATGAATAATATAAACAATAATAGAGGTTAATGATGATTAATTAGTTTATTATCACACTTATATTTTATTATAGATCAGATATTTATTAATACTGAAAGTTTTATTTGTATAAGAGATAACTTCTCTTTTTTTTTAGAGTAGAAATGCCTTTATTTATAATAAATGTTTTATTTACATTTATAATTAATTTATGCTATAAATACCAGATATTTCTTATATTCAATATATATAATAAAAAACTGATATGTTATTAATGCATATATGGCCAAAGTAGCAGAAGTAACATAAGTACTATAAGTATTATAAATATTATAAGTAACATTTTTGTTACTTTTTATATGAGCTTAGATCAGATAAAGATCATTACTTAAATTTGGACACTCATGATCTAAAAAATCAAGTTTACACTATATACTATTTTTAGTTTTAAAGTTTTGGTTTAGTATATTAATTTGATACCAAACCTTTTAAAAATATAGTATAACCTAATTGAAGTTTTTTAATAATATAGAGTTAGCATATTGTTATACAAGGTTTTATGGTTAATATTTTTACTTTCTCTTTCAGAAGATATCCTAAATAATAAGCAGACATTAAGAATTTGGTTCTCTGCCCAATGGTGATAGCTTGTCTTAATTGTTTATAAGTCTTTTCAACCTTTTTTCTAAAATTATCAGATCATTCATATAGTGACAGTTCTGCCTTAGAGCTAATTGGTTTAAGTTTAGTAAGATCATAATAGAAAAGAGAAATTAAAAACAAGTTATCTATTGAATTTCTTTGTTATTTAACAAAATACATATTCAACAGTTATAATCTGTTAAATTTATACATTTTACTTAATTTAATTATAATATGTTTTGAGTAACAGAGCATTATAGAATGTGTCAATGATCTGCTATCCATTGTCTGCAACTGGTACACATCTTGCATAACATGATGATGAATTAAATATAGTTCTAACCATTTTGGCATAAACTTGTCAAAAAGTTGCTTATTTTGCATAGCATTATATAACAGAACTTTATCTTCTGTTTTAAAAATTCTATAGACTTTTTTCAATCATTTATACCAGTAAAACTTTTATTATTTCTAAGTCTTATTAATATTTTCTTTTGCTATTTTGCATTTAATAAGTAAATTACTGATTAATACTCATATTCTATTATTAATATTTTCTATCACCAGCATTGTTTGTTAAAAATTAAAGAATTTGGCTTCTCATTCATAAGTAAGATAGAATGGTGTAGATTTTGTTGTTGCTTACTTTGACATTTGATACACAAATAATATAAAAGATATTAACATATTCTATTCTTGATTTTTGCCAATTAATTTAGCTAGAAACTCACATAGAGTTCAATTAAACCTTTCTATTAAGCTGTTTTTTAAGAGTGATATAATATTAAAAATAGGTGTTTAATTTTGAACTTTTTATTAGTACATTTACTAACTTATTATAAAAATAAGTACCTCTATATAAAATTATATAAGAAGAGCATCCATAATAGCATATAATTTCTTGATAGACAAATTCAGCAGTTTGTTTAGCAGTAACATTAGAAACAGCCCTGAATTTTGGTTATTTTGTCATATAGTATGTTGTGATTATAATATATCAATTTCTGTCTATTGTTCAATTTAAAGGTCTTATAAAATCTATTCATATTAAGGATTTTTATATTCTATGTTTTCTATGCTTCTGACACTTGTTGCACATTTTTATATATTCTGGTATAGCTTTGTATATTTGGAGCCAATAATAATTATTTTTAATTTATCAAACATTTTTTCTATTTCTAAATAGGCTTCAATAGAGAAATTATGCATTAGATATAATATTGGTGCCACCTGATCTTACTGAATTATTTTTATTAACTAATTTTTGTTCTGCTTCCACCAATCTCTTTTGTAAAGCAGATGATTATAGATAATGAATAATCTATTTTGGCTTTCTAATTGTTTTTTTTGTTAATTGCTAAGATTAAATAAGTATTGTACTTTTTCTAAAAAGTTTTTATTTAATTGTATTTAATAAGTTCTATAATATTAATATTACTAAATATTTTTGATAAATTGTTTTTTTTTTATTCATATAGTTGCAGTGACTAACTTGCAAAGTCTAGCATTATTTGTTAACAGTTTACATTCTAATAATCAACTAATTTAACAAGTGTTTGGTAGGGTTAAAAACTTTCTACCACATTGGATTTCAGAAATAAGTATCAGTTAAATTATTAAACTTTAAATAATATGCCATAAAAGGAGTTTCTAATAATGATAGCTACCAGAGATAATTTTTTAAATTGTGCTGTTTGCTATTTTTAGTGCAGTTTTTAATTATATCTTTTACTTGTATTGAATTTTTTTTGATTTATAAAATTTTCATTGTGCTCTTCCATTTACTAATTCTTCTAGTATTGTCTAGTAACACTTAGCTATCTTTGTAATAGGTAGTGTTTAATAGTAACTTATAACTTCAAATTGCAATAGCAGGTAACATACTTATCAGATGATAAATATAATTTTTTATCATATCAACACTGTGCACTAGAGCCTTTCTAGTCTAAAATCTAGGTGTTTTTTTTTGTTACTATCTAATTATTGTCTTATGTACTTAATAAATATAATATACTTGATTGTTCATTGTACTGTATCTATTAGAATGTAAATGCAACTGCCAGTATAGGCATATTTCACAAATAGCACACTTTGATAGGTCATATTGAAGCATTCTTTTTACTTATTTTATTATTATATCTATTTTATCTTTGCTACTTGTAAATTCCAAACTATATTCTATCTTAGTTAAGTATATTTTTTGAATATATTTATTGTTTTTATAAAGCTGTAATAGAGTATCAGCATTGCTGTGTTTTCAACCAGATTGGTGCCTAATCATAAAATTGTATGATTCCAATCTTTTAAATCATCTATCTCATTTATCCTTTAGTTCAGAAGTTCTTAGCCATTTTAGAACTGAGTAATCTGTTATTAGAAAAAAGAGTTTTGACCCCAAATACTGATAGAAATATTCTACAGTCTATATGATTGTGAGGCATTTTAACTTTGTAATAGAATAATTTTGCTCAAGTTGATTTAAACTTCAGCTAGCATAAACTATCATATATTCCTTTTTGTTATCATATAGTTGGCCTAGCACAGTGCCCAGTTCCAAAGTTAAAGAATTTGTATATAAATAAAAAGAATGATTGAACTCTGAATATAGTAGAAATAGGGCAGTAATTAAGCAATTTTTTAAGATGTTAAATGTTTTATCTTGCTTGATGTTCATCTATATAACACATCCTTTTATAACAATTGTTTTAAGAATTAAGCAATTTTAGAAAACTCTTTTATAAACTTTCTATAATATGATGCAAGGTCTAAAAAACCTTTAATTTGTCTTAGAGTAGTAGATATAGAGAAATTTTTAATTTTTTTTGTTTTTTATCATTAGATCTAACTTTATATATACTGACAATATAACCTAAAAATTTGATTTCTTTTAGAAAAAATGTACATTTTTCCAAATTTAATTTTAAATTCACTTTGGTGATTATATCCAAAACTTGTTGTAGATGTTTTTTATACACTTTAACTGTTTTTAAGTATATAGTAATATTGACAAGATAGATGATTACAAACTTGTCTATACATAATTCCAAAACATTATTTATTAACTATTAAAAGGTTGAATGAGTATTACACAACTCAAATGGCATTTTATTGAACTCATAGATGCCAACTTTGGTAATAAATGTGGTTTTCTTTTTATCTTCTTCTTTGACCACAATTTGCCAATATCTGCTTGCTAGATTAAGATTTAAAAACCATTTATCACCATTAAATATAGATAAAATTTCATTGATATTAAGTAAAAAGTATATATTTTTTTCAGTTACTATATTTAATTTATGATAGTTAATGCAAATTTTTTTTTATTGCTTTTTTTTGGAATAATAATAACAAATGTACCTATAGGCTTTTGGCTTTATAAATTATATTTTTTTTCTTTTTCTAAATTTCTTGTTTTAGAAACTCTTGTTTATCAGGAACTATATTTTATAGGCATTGTTTAATTAGTTTAGTATCCTTCATATTTATTTTACAATCTACAAGGTTTTATATCCCAAATATGCTGTTTAACTGTTTTGCTTATTTTTTTGGCAAAAACTTTAGAATGCCAGATTAACAAATCATACACTTGTTTTTTTTTGATCTATTATTAGATTATTTTGTATATCAGATTGTTCTAAGTCATGATAAGGTTAAAATGAATTAGTTAAGTAAATAATATAGTTATTATTAGTTTAAGAGTTATAAAACAGCTCATCATTCTCTAAACATAGTTCATTAGTAAAAAAAGCTTCTTGTTCAATTTCACTATTCTCTTTTAGCTTGTCAATTCAATTTTCTTCATTAGTAAACTCTTTCAGTTTCTGTATTATATTTTTGTAGCTTATATGGATGGCATTAATAGTAGCTTGTCTTTCTAGATATCTAATATTTAAGATATTTTTATTAAAGTTCAACTTAGCTTTGGACTTATTAAACCAGTTTGTACTCAATAATAAGATTTCTTTCTGTAACTTAATTATCTGTAGATCGATTAGAATAATTATATTATATAAAGTTATTCTTATGTTACTTACAATTTCAAAAACCTTCATTCAGCTTTTATTAGCTGTAATTATGACTGTTTTAGAAGGTTTATTAATATTTAAGTCTAATTTATTTTTTAGTTTTTGAATAACAATACTAATAGTGGCTTCTGCATCCAGTATAGGAACTACTGAATTTATATTTATGTAAACATAACATCATATTGCAATAGTTTTTTTCAAATCATTGGCCTTAAAATAATTCACCTTAGTGGCTGAAGCTTTCTTACATTATAATGCTTTTGCCAGATTACAGTTTTGGTTTAGATACTGCAATAATTAGCCATATGTGGCATAAGCTTGCATACTAACAAATTTTTAGCAATGTCATATAGTCTAAGCTGGTTAATAATTAATAATAACCATTTTTTTACAATTTTTTTTGGGATAGGTTGAACTGGGTTATTCTCACATCAATGGGATCTCTATGAAGACAGGGGTTTTAGTACTATTTTTTGCAAAATAGGCTTCTTATATAATGATGACTGTTTTTGTTTCTCTTTTTGATTCTTTCTATTAATATTGTACAATTAGAAACAAGTAATATTATTTATATACATTTTCTTATATTCATCATTATCTATATCAAGAAAATTAATATTTTTATTTTGTTTATTATTGGACCTTTGATATAACTGATAATGTTATTTTTTTAATTGTAATCATTTGGCTAAACAATTCTGATCATAATAACTTGCCTTACTATATCTGTAATAGTTAAATGTAGTTGGTTTTCTTTGTCACAATTTATGAAAAAGCAAAGGTATTTTATATGCCATCTTATCAGTCTATGCTGTAAGTGCAAAAGCAATTATGGTTTAATTTAGTGTTATTTGATGCATCTGCCTAATAAGTTCTTTATTGCTTTATCATAATTTGCTTTTTTTTTCTAATTGTTCTGAATTGTTATCTAGCACAAAATTGGTCTTTTGCTCATAAGTACAGCAAAATTAAATACAGCATCTAGGTTTGCAGAAATATGCATAAGAATTAATAAGAGTATTTTTTAATGCAAATCTTTTTGAAATAGTATAATTCTTAGATATCTGAGAGATTACTTCCTGTTTCTATCCACTTAGTTAGTTGTTTAAATTTACTGTAATATTTATTTACAGATTTATAAAAAAGTTGCTTTAGTGTGTCTAGGTTTTTTAACTACTTGTTCTGTCAATATTAATTGCAGAAACATTCTCTAAATGCATCTGTAGTAGCAGTTTAGTTTACAAAAGGATCATTAGTTGCATTATTACTACCTTAATACATCTGTTGCCATTTATCAACATTCTTATATAAAAAGACGGATAAAACTTCTCTTTTTTATTTAGCATTCTATCAATTTGCAGCAGCAGCTTTTTAAACCTTTTTAATCAGGTCTGATGATTTTATATACCATCTTCTAGAAAAGGCTCTATCCTTAAGAGAATCAAGTCTTTTTAATTATTTTGAAGAAAATTTAAAATGTCTTGTATCATGGCTATATTTTAATCAATAGGAAGAAGAGACCATGTACAAATTAGTCTTTGAAGCTCTAAGTCTAAATAAGAATCTTCTTGTTTTAAAAAGCTATAGAGGATTTGAAAAGAATTAAGATCAAATTGGTTGGTCTATTAATAGACTTGAATCAGATAACCTACTAATATATCAAAACTAAAGTCTTGTAAATACTGACAAATATAAATTAGAGTTTAAAAATCTTTTTCTAATAGATTCTTATATTGCTATATAAATTGAAAGATATAGATCATATATTTAGTATATTTAAATACAAGATATATAACAAAAAACCAAGTTTGAAAATTTCTAAATGATGGTGAAAGGTTGGCTACAATAGAGTAATACAGTTTACAAAAATAATCTGCAAGAATTTCTTGGATTTGTTGCAGATCTGTAAGTTAGTACCAGAATGAAGTATATGTTTTTAATTATATTGGTTGTTTTTTTCACAAACTTATTGTATTTAAGTATATACTAATTAGATATACTTGTTTTCTAATATATCAGATAAGTTACAAATGTAATTTTCAGTTATTATTTTTAACAGAGATTTTGATTCACAGTATTGTGTTATATCATGTTTGTACAATTGATATTGCACAGTACTAATTTTAATAATTAAGATTGTATCTCACAGTCACTACTAAACTGTTATATCTGTATTATCTCTTTATAAGTGCAGGTTAATATAAGATAATAGTAATTAAAGACAATAATAATTGAATGTCTTATGAGCATCTTATGCTAATAAGTATTTATGTCAATAACTAGTATTAATGTTTAAGAGGATTTAGAGTAATTTGCAATTATGAAAGAGACAACAACTAAATGTATATAAAGATACAAATAGATATATAATAACCTATTGCTAAAATCCTTGAGTTGCTTGTGTTTAAAGACATAATAACTCTTTATTAAGTATTTTTCAAGTAGAAGCAACTGATTTAATGATATGATATTAGAGCTATTTATACATATTCATTATTATAGATCTGTATAACTAATTTATTGTTCACTTGTTAATACTAATTCTATGTTGGTTAATAATATAATAAAAATAAAAATAAAAAGATTACTAGATAATAATATATAGACTAAGAAAAATAAGAGCAAAAATAAATATCAATTTAGTTTATTAGATTCATTAGTAGCCAATATAGGTTTGTATAACTGCTAGATGTTGGTTAAAGGTTAGGTTATGTGATTTATTAAGCTATCCTAAAGAACAGATGACTTTACCACTATTCATCTTATATTTCATATGATTATACTGCTATTATAATCAGTATAATTAGTATAGACATTATAATTAGTATATACAGAATAATAAATTTAAGTGCTATAACATAAATAGTATAACATGTCTTATATAAAAGAAAGTATATAATTAAGACTTTAGACTTACAAAGAAAACTTTATTGTTTATAATTTAAATAAAACCTGTTCTATAAGAATAATATTCTGATTTTGCTATAATAATATCTATAGTTATAAACTATCTACTCGCCAAATATAATATGCCTTTTTGACTAAGCTGACTTATAAGTTATATAATATATCTAATTAAGAAGTAACA